GGTATGGGTCACATTTTCCTATTTTTACTCATGCCTAGAAATTTTTTATTTTATAATGGACATTGTAAATGATATGTTTTAGTAACACTAGCGTCTGTTCTTTTTCTTTAAAGAGTGTTGATCTTTGTTATATTGGACAGTTAAATTACTGGCTGATGCCCCTGAACTTGTATAGGCTTGTCTTTGTACTTTTCTAGGATGAGTATATCTTGGGTGAATCCCTTATTCCTGAGACACAGTCTGCCTTCCTAGACGTGTTTCTTCTGGAGTTTATGTAGAAAGGTTTCAAACTTCGTGTCCCTGTGGTGAATCCAGCTGGAATCCCTATTCTTTCTGCTTTCTTAATTATTTCTTTTCACAGACTCCTTGGGGTCTCCCCTGTGCCTGCATGTTCAGAAGTCAGCCAAGGACTTAAAGGGAGGTTATCATCAGATTTGGGGCTTACCCTTTTCCAGGAATTTGTCCTTCAGTTTCCAGCCACCCTGGAGGCCCAGAGCTCTGCCCTCCGACAACTCAGCCAGAAAGGCTGTGTTGCTGTAGGTCGGAGAGCATCTTCGGGAACACTGTATAAATATGGCCTTCACTCTGTGTGACTTTCTTCTTTCAAGGGGTGAATCCTCTCTAGTTTCTGCCTGCTCCTGGCTACTGTCTAGCCCTTTCCAATAGTTGCTTTTTCTGTTTTGCTCAGAGTTTATAATTGTTATCTGAGTGAAGAGAACTAGAAATCTTTTTTTCCCCTCCTCTAGCTGCAGCTCTGTAAGAGTCACTAAAAACCTATTTTGACTACTCTGTAGAAAGAAACTTAAGACACTTATCCTCACTGGCTGTGAATAATCATATCACCTTCGTATTTAAAGCTCAACGTACATAGCAAAGACATTTATGACCTCATCATCTAGGGATAAATCCACTATTTATGAAAAGACTTTGTGTTATAATCAAAATGTGCATTAGCCACAGATCACAAGTATATACATTGTTTGATTTGACCAGTAGTGTAACTAGTTTTGTGTGAAAGCTACAGTGTTGGGCTTTGTCATTTATATATTATGTGACTTGTGAAAAGTCTTAGAATACAAAGATATTTACAACACTGTTACCATTTAATTTTCACCATTGAAATCGGCACCATTAGCACTTAAAGTGTCTGGGTGACACGTTCTTTAGCCCGGTTAATTAGAAAACTATTCCTGTGTCAGAGGAAAACATCTCAGTTGCTTGCTAAAGGAGACTTCAGTTATGTAAAGTGCATTGTCAGAAGGGCAGTAGTTCTAAGAAAGGTGTCTTCCCAGTCATCCAAGTGACTTAATAAAAAAGTCCTGACAGGACTCCGTCTTGGCAACCACAGGGCAGTGTTAACCCGTCCACACAAGCTGTGGCGAGCTCTGCCCAGCCAGAGGGCAGCAGAGCCGAGCGGGATGCTGGCACAGTGCTGGGCGTGCTGTCCTCACATCCTTCGTTCTCCCCCCTTCACAGGCCTGATGCGATCACGGGTGCGGGGAGCCGACGCAGCCCAGGCCAAGGTCCTGACGTTCCTGGACAGCCACTGTGAGTGCAACGACCACTGGCTGGAGCCCCTGCTGGAGAGGGTGGTCGAGGTGAGGCAGGCTTGCGGTGCTTTTCCCTGATGCCGTAAAGGGGAAAATGTGCCTCGGGAACATTAGTTCTCACGGTAGGAGTCTGTCAGTTGGGAAGAACCTCACTTGACGAGTAGTTGGCGAGGGCCAGCAGAGGTTGGTGCACACCTGACGGGTATAGACCCTCTTCTTAGGAGGTTCCCCCTTCCCTACAGCTTTGCAGCCAGCTCCCGGAGTCAGCAGGGCAGGGTGCTCAGGACACTGTGCCCGGCACCTGGCGAGGCTAGCTGAGTGCTTGCTGCTGTCGCTGCGGGGGCCTCCGTGGGGACTCCTGGGCCGTGAGAGTGGCTTGTAGGCTGGCGGGGTGTGAGAGGGAAGGGAAGGGGGAGGGGCTGCTGCAGCCACATGGCGACAGGTGGAGGCTGTCCGGGTGGGTCACAGGCACATTTTGTGCAACTTTGTCTTTTAGAAGCATTATCACTAGTATTACATCTGGCTTTTTGTCATCTCTCTTTCCTTCTGCTTGTTTTATTGACTTTCTTTCCTCCCTACTAAGAAATCGCTTCCTTGGGTGATAAAGCAAACTTGCAGTACTAGAGAAACGAAAAATGAGCAAGTCATTCTTTTACGGCACAGCCAGGCTAGCTGACTGGCAGTGAGTCTGGAATACGAAATCACCACGAGCTACTGGCATTTTGGTAATCATATTCGCTACCATTTAGCCAGTACTAACCTCACGCTAGACACTGTACATGACCTTTAATCCAGGTATTACCCCATTTGACAGATGAGAACACTGGGGTTCAGGGAACTTTAATAACATCCAAAATCCTGCAGGTGGCAGGGCAGGATCGCAAGGCAGGTGTCAGTACTCGCCTGGCTGAGCCTCCTTGCACGCACCCACCTGCTTGCTGTGAGAAGAGCCCGTCTGGCTGCCCCCGCCCAACCTGCCCTCCACCACTGCCTCCGGGAATGCAGGGGCAATAGGAAAGCTGCAGCCACGATATTAGCATGTGAGAAGGCCGCTGGCTTCTGTACTTACATCTCAAGGACCCTTCCTTCCGAAAGGGTGGGAAGGGTGGAAAAAGCTGAGAGGAGTGATTCTCACTAAGTGCAGACGTATCAGAAGCCATAAGAATAAATGCAGTGGGCTTACAGGCAGAGCAGCTGTGTCCTCTGGCTCCTACCCCCAGGCGCAGGCCGGGGCGGGCAGGGAACTTGTCCCTCTCTGAGCACAGTAGCGGGCTTTCTTTCCCTATACTGCAGCTGGGTGCCATTAGAGCTTCATCCTCTCTCGGTATTTCTCTGCTGTATTATGTTCTGAGCTCTGCCAATTCGGTGACTGGCTGGTTTCCGAAGTCTTTCTTCTGGCTAACACGTGTTCTTTAAATGGCGCGGGAAAGCACTTATTCCTCTGTTAATGTCGGCTGGGGCAGTGCCTCTCACCGATATCAACCACGTGACTGTAAAGAGGGCAGGAAGTGAAAAGGCCTTCTGTCCCAAACTCCTACCGGAAGAGTGGCAGTGCGCCATGGAGAGATGCCTCAGTCTCTCGGGACGGTTTCTGTTCGTAGACTCGCAGGTTAGACAGACTGAGAACCTGGACTTCTCTGGTCGGTTTGGTTTACCTGCTGCTGTAATAACACTGACACTGCACATCACAGCCCCTCGTATGTCCAGAGGAACACGCTCCCAACTTCGCTGTGTGTGCATCTCAGCCACGCGTCCACCCCCGAGCTCCCCTGCATGCAGCTCACAGATACCTGAGCTCAGATGCTGTTGGAATGAAAGCAACCCCACAGTTGGAATTTTTGATGTTTGGGAAAACTGAAAAGGGCTCTGGGGACTTCCTGGTATGGTCCAGGCCTTCAGCCAAATGAGCAGAGCCTGGACTGCCCCTTGCCCATGGGCATCTCTGCCCGCCGCGGCCACCGTCCCTCGGTGCAGAATGGGTCCTGTCTGTGGTGGCAAAGAGCAGGCGCTTGGCTGAGAGGGCACAGGGACGTGGGCACCGGCTGCCCCGTAGCTGCCTGACACAAATGCCATCTCTTGTGGGCTGGGGCTGTTGGCTCTGTTGTTGGTATCCACCTCTGTCCTTTGTTATTTGTTCCAGGACAAGACTCGGGTGGTGTCGCCCATCATCGATGTCATAAACATGGACAACTTCCAGTACGTGGGGGCGTCTGCTGACCTAAAAGGCGGTAGGTGCTGCTGCATCCCCCGCTTTGTCCTCCCTTCCCGTCCACGCTGCATCGGAGCGCCGCCCCCTCTCACATCAGCAGCCTTCACTCGGCCAGGCCTGTGTTCCGGGCAGAGTCCCGTCGCGAGAGGACGGTTGCCCCGTAAGAGGTTCCCGTCTCCCACGCCTCTCGTGCCCGCCTGACCGTCCTTTGCTGCTGTGACTCAAGGCTCAGCACACAGTGCCGGTGTCACCTTCAGTCAGAAGGTGTAGCCTCCCCCTGGGTGTCGGAGACGGGACCGCAGGCAGGTGTGACATACACCCAGAGCTCAGGCTCGAGGAGTTGAAAGGGCCGGAGCCCAGCTGCACCTCCCTCCTCTAGTGGCTCCTCGGATAGCCCGCGTCTCCTTGGCGGCAGGGACATCTGCCTCGTCACCCCAGTGGACACATGGTCACCACCCAAGTCCATCATCACAAGGTCCTGCCGATTCTACCCCCAACGTGTGACTCCTCCCCACTCAGACCACCCGCATCATTTCGGGGTAACCCTGTGTCTGAATGATGCAGCCTCTGGATGCGTCCCCTCAAACCCACCCTCCGCGGAGCCCCCAGAATGATTTGTGTAATACTCTCTTTACCTTCTTTAAAATGATTACGGGCCCCAAATAACTTTGGATCATGTGGTTATAACATCAGCATTTACTGTATTAGAAAGTAAATCTGAGAAATGGTTGAGAATCAAGTCCTGTTGTCCATCAGAGTGCAGAGATCACACGTCCTGCAGCTTCTGAAACTCTCCCTCTTGTGCTTTTGAAAGGATGAGCTTGAAAGAGACATAAGACTTTAATATAAACATAAAAGTTGTTGTGATGTCGTGGACTCCCTGAAAGGGTCTGTGGACCCCCAGTGACTCCTGGACCACACACGAGGTGCTTCTGACAGACACACAGGAGCCCCACCAGCCCCACTCTCAGGAACTGGTCGTGTTCCACGTGGCTCTTGCCAGCTGTCCCTGTGTCCCAGGATTGTGCATGTGGAGGGAGGTGGCCTAGGCTCCCCAGGCCTCTGCCACAGCCCAGGAGTAAACACTCGATGCTCTGAGACTCAGCTGGTTGGCAGACTTGCCTCTCAGAACTCGACTGAGAGCCCAGAGGTCAGCAAAGACTGCCCTGAGCCACTAAAGAGCTGTTGAAGCCTTGCCTGTTTGTGCGAGTTGGTCATTATTGACCCTGGCACCTGCCACCAGGGAGTTCTTGTCTAGCCTCCCAGCATCCATTTCTTTGTGTAAGATAAAGGGCTTCATCTCCCACCTCCTGGCATTTTGAGCTTATTAGAAGATGGATTGTTCCAGACAGTCCTAGCATCAGAAAAGAAGGCAGTAAGACTGTCTAGACTGGGCGCATCCTCAGGAAATAGTGCTGGGACCTGTGAGTGAGCCTCTCTCAGGCCATGTCACCGTGGGTGGGCCGTTTCACCTCTGTCTTCAGCACCCCCATTTGAGAAGTAGGGTGATAATTGTCCTGCCACAGAGGGTAGTGAAGGGGTCAGAATGGCCGGTGTGAGGTCAGGGGTGTGACAGGCAACTCCCCCGTCCCCAGGCATCAGCAAGAGGTCATCCGTGCTGGGAGGACCGTCCTTACGTTGGGAAACATAAAATTCAGGAGAGATGCTCAACAATTAGTGAGGGGTTTGCTGCTTAGAGAGGACAGAGCCTTCGCCACTGAGAAAGTCCCCAAGGACTGCCAGAGCCCAGGCTCCATGCTCCCCTTCTTCCACGGAGCTGCTTGTGTCAGGACAGGCGTGGGGACGCGAGGTGCTCTGGGGTGGGGTGCAGGCCTCCTGCTGCACCGGAATAAGGGGCCACACTCCCTCGAAGAGCATTTTACGAAATCCCTTTAGGAAAAAAAATCAAGGATGGCATCTTTAGCAGATTCCTAAAATGTAACATAGCCTATCTCTTTGGACCAAATTAATAAAATTATATCGAACATTTGAAAACTATGGGTAATTTATGTGGACTGGCCAGTTGAGGTCTTTGCATCCACTGTTGGCGACAGGCACGGCCAGCCCACTTTTTCTGTGGTTGGCGTGTCTGAGGCAGGTCCTCTGCCTCGGGGAGAGTGGGCTCCTCAAGATGTCAACCTGGGTGGGGCCTGTGTCAGTTTTCTCTCTTGTGTGACTGTCCCCACTGCCTGGCGCCCCAGCCACTTGCTCCCTCTTTGCTAGCCTGCTTCTCCCTGCAGTGACAGCTGGGGGCCTTTTTGGTCCCGGGCCTCTGGGTGTGCCATAAAGTGTGCTGAGCCCGCCCAGGCGGCCTCAAGCCCCCACCTCCCGTCCTGCCCTGCCCGGGCTGCAGACACCGGGGCTGTGGGGCAGGCAGGCCCTGTGTTCAGAGTGCGCAGACGAGCAGCCCACACTCGGGCATTGCACAAGCCCCGCCCGTAGCCTGATGGTGGCAGAGAGTTTGAGAGGCACAGAGCCGGGAGTTGGTGGCCCTGCAGTGTCTGGGCATGGCCGTCAGACCCTCAAGAAGGCAGTCGGGTGAGCCAGTGTCACCAGAAGTGCTCTCCTCACACATCTGGAGAGCGGCAGCAGGCAGGGTGTGTTGGCACCAGCGGCTCTCTGTGGGGTCCCTTCTGGGTAAGGGCGAGAGCTGCCAGCAGGGGGCCAGGGGCTTGCGAATGTGTGAGGATCAATAGTGAACAGGTCGCACAAACAGAAACGGTGTCAGGTGCCAGGCCTAGGCCTCCCGCCATGAGGACAGGGGCTGAACGTCCCAGAATTCGAAGCTCGCTTGCCCACTCTGCTGCTGCTTTCGGCTCATTTCATCAATGTCTTTCCCTCTCGCTCCTCGCCCCAGGCAATTCTTGGCTCAGATGTATTCAGTTGCAACCCAGTGGCATTGAAGGATCCACACAGCAGATCAGGGTGCTGTACACCTGAAACTAACATAATATTGTGTCCACTGTAATCGGAAATTAATTTAAAAGCTAGAGATTGAACAGATCGAGTTCACAGGCCAGGGACCCCATCGTCTTGTCCCCTCATGTTGGAGGCAAGGTGGCAGATTTTTTTATCTCATTTTCCCCCTGCCTCCTGGTGTCACCACACAGACCCCTCTTCCCAGTTCACATTTATTCGTACACATCTCATTTTGGAGACGCCTGGCCCACGTTTTCTGTTTTGGGAAAACTTTAGGGGAAAGAGGCTCTCTGGGTGCCCTCTCCGCTGCTCTGCCGCCCAGCCCCCACTCGCTGTCTTCTCGCCACAGCTTCTCTGTTGTGTTTTGTTGTGTTTTTTGTACTGTTTGGTTTTCATTGAGTTTCATCCAAATATCTGATATTTTTAAGCTGTGAGGGGTGGTGGTGCCGAGAGCACACAGCCGTTCTCGTCAACACCCTGTGTTTCTTTTGTGTGGTTGGCAGGTTTTGACTGGAACTTGGTGTTCAAATGGGATTACATGACACCTGAGCAGAGAAGATCCCGGCAAGGGAACCCGGTTGCCCCCATAAAGTAAGTGCCAGGGCCCTTTGGGGTGCCCCTCACAGCTAAGAACCCGAGCTTGGGCACCACGTCCCCTTGGGGTCCTTTGGCATGTGCCCCCCACACCTCCTCATCTTAGTTCAGAGGGGGATTTGCCAGCATATCACAGAATTAAGTACCTTGAGACTCCTTTCCTCAGACGAAGTCAAGCGAGTATCCCTAAGACAAAGCTGCCAGGCCTGTGTGCTCGTCCTTCATAGGGAGAGCATTTTCCTCTGTGGGGTGAAGTCTTCAAGTTGACCCCAGGGACCCAGGAAGGGCGGTGGGTCCGGCGAGTGTGAGTGCCCTCTGCTGCAGGCCTTCCTGGTCCTCTGCCCTTCGTTCACTGTCCCGTTTGCCCACAAGGAAGCAGCCTGTCCTCATGACCACCTGGCTGTAAGGTCGCCAGGCCAGGCCTGGGGTTCATGCTGGGAGTCGGTGTGCCTCTGTGGGGTGGGACTGTGGGCTGTCTCTACACTCAGAGCTCAGCGCGGTTGCCGGATAAGTGAGGGTGCTGCTCCAGACTGGTACCCCAAAACCTCTCTGGCAGCGTGTTCCCAGCATCTGTAGCAAGATGTTTCTTACAGCGCCTCTGCTGGGACCAAGGCAGGGCTTCCTGAACTTTCTGTTAACCCTTCCCAAGCTGATGGGGAAGTGAGGCGGTGGTGGGTCCACCTGGCAAAGGAGGAGCCTGCTGCATGGCAGTGATGACGCTGAGACAGCTGGCATCACCGAGCTCCCCACGTGCACTGGCTGCACGCTGGCACAGCGTGTGTACGATGGCACAGAAAGGCTTAGAACTTGCCTAGGGCCACTTGTCAGAGTGCACCCAACCCCAGTGGTCACTGGTGGGAGAGAGGCAGTCCAGTCCCTCACTGCGGGGTGTCTGAGCAGGGCAAGTGGGGAAGGCATTTGAAGACAGCAGTGGCATAGCAGTGGAGCACCCAGAACACTGAGCAGAGAACGGTGCCATGGGTGATTTTTAAGGTCAGCGTGTGGGCTTGACCTTGGCGTAACAGTGCTGGTGAGCTTGACCTTTGGTCTCTCCCTTTCCCTCCCGCCCGCCCTGCCTCTTTAGAACCCCCATGATTGCTGGAGGGCTGTTCGTGATGGATAAGTTCTATTTTGAAGAACTGGGGAAATACGACATGATGATGGATGTGTGGGGAGGAGAAAACCTGGGTACGTATGAACCTCATGTCTTTTCCTGCCTACCAAGAGTGATGGAGATGAAAATGGAAGCTTTGCAAAGACTGTTAGGCAAGAGTTTGTGCTGTACAGGGTGCCAATTGGGAAATTGCTTTTAAAGACATTACGGTGACCTTCGGACATAACTGGTCTCTGTATAAGTACACGTACCACCCCTTTTATCCTTAAGAGTCTTAGGCTGGGCATTAAAGTATGTCGCTTTAAGAGGGCAGGATGCTAGGATACAGATAAGCTCTTGAAGGGAAATGCAAACACTTCAATGTCGTTTGAATCTGAGGGTTTGGAAAGCACGCGTACAAAAACGGGAGGAGCATCTAGGGCGGAGAGTTCGTTTCTCGCTGTGTAGAGTGGACAGGGCTCTGTGCTGAGGCTGGTGGGCGGGCTGAACTGAAGCGTGGAAATCGCATGGGGAGGCCCTAGTGCTGAGTCCCTTCCTGACGAACGGTTCTGTTTAGTTTGACGATTTTTTTTAAAATAACCCATGCAAATCATTTTTACCCAGATTTGGGGACAGTGAAATTGTGTAGACTTTGGTCTGTACATTGGTAGCTGCATCATAGTTACTGCATAAAGATAAAAAATCTTGAAAGTTTCACTGCAGGGCTTAGGGTTCTGAGCTGATTCCTTTCAGCTCCTGACACTATTAAATTACATTCGCCCTTGGGTGGGCGCACCCTGGGAGCACGGAGGCAGGGAGAAGGAGAAAAAAATGATGCCACTATAATTCTTAGTTGTTTTTACTTGTAACAGAACCTTTGATATTTTTTGTTAGTTTAAAACAAAACACTAGCCTTACCTACTATTTTTCTCTCATTTTATGATATTAAAGTTACTGATAACATCTTATCTGTGGGGTGTTTCTCCACCTCGACTGAAGTTGAAGCTCAGACTCAGTAATGACACCAGGTCAAAGGACCGTGAGCCAAACTCCCGGTTGTTTTGGTTTTTTTTGGTTGTTTTTTTTTTTTATTTAAAGATTTTTTTTTATTGGGGTATTGGGGGGAAGGGAACAGTGCTGGGGAATTGGGGGAAGGGGAACAGACAAGTTGCTGTTGTTTTGTTCTTCAGTCTAGTTGTG